TTAACTGGTCAGGACTCTCGGAACTTTCAGGTTTAATTTCACGGAATCGCTTCCTGTACCCATCCTCTGTGAAATCGTATCTTGTCAACAGCGCCACCTTCACACGATCATAGTCAACTGCATCAGTGTCGGACATCCTGGAATATACTTCCAGTGCTCTACCAGTCAACAGCGCACTCAATTTTGTGGCCCATCCATTTCTATGCCAACTCGCATTCGTTGCAAACCTCTCAAACCGTAATAAATAACTATCAAGTTCGTCCTTACCATCAACAAATGCAGGCAACTTTGGTGACAAAATCAGCCTGTTGGAGCCCCGGCATTGCTGCTTGCAGCTCTAATTTCCTTAACTCAAATTCTCTTTCCTTTTCTCACTGTTCTGCTTCCATTCGCAATTTCTCTCTTTCGCCTGCTTCTGCTTCCAGCCGTAACTTTTCCTTTCTTTCCTCAATCTCCATTTTCTTTACCTCTGCTTCCCTTTCTTTTTCCCGCTGTTCTGCTTCCATTCACAATTTCTCTCTTTCACCTGCTTCCGCTTCCAGTCGAAACTTTTCCTTTATCTCCATTTTCCTCACCTCTGCTTCTATTTCCATTTTTGCCTTTCTCTCTTCCCTCGCCGCTTGTCTCTCAGATCGCTGAGAACTCAGTCTTCTCCAGTCATTCCCAGTTCATCCGCCCACTCCATCAACTCTTGTTTCGACATATCTTTTATCTCGCTGGCCATGCTGTCTTCTATATGTCTTCACTGCTCCCGGACGAGCCCCCAGATGTCACACGCAACGTAATATTACCGTAATTGGTATAGTACAGGTGTGATGGTTCAAATACCAAAATGGCAACAGTAACAAAAAGACTTCCCTGGCGGCGATGATAAAATACGAACACGGAGCCAACAGATGAGGTTTCAACTGGTACTGGTATTATTATACTCTGCAAACATCAAGTACAATAACGCGGTAAAACTCCACTACTCCAATAACTAGATACTTAAACTCCAATACAATTCAACGAGATCTCCGATCTGATCTCAGTGCTGAACAACTCCCCTATATATA